TGTGGGCTGGTCGGAGCCTCACCCACCTCCTCAGGGATCCCTCCCGAGGGCGTCCGCAGGGCCAGGGACGCCATTGCCCCAGAGCGATGTGCCGTTGTCTTTTTTATAAAAGCATCTCTAGCAAGGGTTTCTGTAGTTGTTTGACCTTTAACCTCATGTCCCAGAGTCCTGTTTTTAAAGATCTGGTTTCTTGCTTTGACATCAGTCAAAAGTGGCCTACAGGGCGGGCCTGGGGTCTGTAAACCAGAGGCTGGCCCGTCACTGCGGCTGCCCCCAGCCCAGGCTCCGGACGGGCCCCCTCCTGGCACCCAGGCCCCGGACGGGCCCCCTCCAGGCACTCAAGCCCCGGGTGGACCCCCTCCAGGCTCCCAGGCCCCGGGTGGAGCCCCTCCAGGCACCCAGGCCCTGGGCAGGCCCCCTCCAGGCTCCCAGACCCCGGGCGGGCCCCCTCCAGGCACCCAGGCCCCCCTCTCGGCACCCAGGCACCCTCCCCCTGAAGAACCATGTGCTCACGTCCTCTCTGGATCATGGTGACCGGAGACCTCGGTGGCTGCCAGTCAGAGGGTTTTGTTTGTACAAGAAATTGCTTTGTGTCAAGAGGCAGTTGCTGATGGGTGTGGCCGTGAGGAGATATAACCTGGCATTTGTGTTTGTGGGCGATCTGCCTCTCGTCTCTGCAGCCCCAGAGGGAAGCCGCTCTGGGAGAGAGTGCTCCTTCTTTCTAATCTTTCCCGAGGAAGCTCTTTCCATGGGTTCTCAGATGGGGGGAGGAGGGGGGGTGTGTGTGGAAGGAGCTACCCCAGCCCCCTCCCTGGCAGCGAGGGGGACCCCAGAGGAGCACATAGCACGAGGCCCCCAGGCCCCCGTCTTCACCCGCACGGCCTGCACCTTGGAGAGCATGGCCCTGGGAACGGGGACTTGGCCCAAACGCCATTCCTGGGCCCGAGGATTCCCAGGATCAGCAGAAGGTGGGGCAGGGATATGGAAGGTGGGGGAGGGGAGGGGAGGTGAGGGTTGGGTGGAGGGAGCTGCTTAGTAACAGACACCAAGTCGGAGCTGTGCCCAGGTTCTGTCCCAGGCTGTCCCCCACTCTGGCCAGGGGTGTCAATCACCCTTCACTGATGCCATCCTGCCTCCGGCACCCACTGCCTGTCCATGGCTTTGCTGTTGTCTCCAGCAGAGCGGCCGCCATCAGCAGAAGCCCAGTGGCCAGGCCTCAGGTGGGTGAGCTGCAGGCCGACTGTCCAGCGGGAGGCGCTGGACATTCATGCAATCACAGACCTAAGCAACGCACATCCTGCGGCCAGGAGGCCGGGCCTGCGCGAAGACTCGGGGATTGAAATTAAACACCCACAAACCGCTTTACGGAGCTGTAACGATGTGCCTGGACGTGACCCGGGACAAGCAGGCGGTCAGTGGTTCTCAGTGCATCACAGCGTTCGGCAGCCTCACCACCGTCCGCCTTCAGCGCGTTTCACCCTCCACCCACCGCACCCCCGGGCCCCCCCACCCCGCCCCTCCCGCTGACCAAGAGGGCGCTGTCCGCACCACAGACCCCGTCCGGGCTCCACAGGAACGGGCTCATGTCCATGTGGCCTTGTGTTAGACTCAGCTCTAACGCGCTCCTGCCAGCTCCGAGGGAAGATGGGCCTTTTGAAGCCGACAGTGAAGTGCCAGCGCCGGCACAGCCTGTGCACGGCGGGACGCCGGCAATGGCACCACGACGGCGTTTCCCCCAAATCCTGTTCCCGTTCTTGGCGTGAGGCTCCCCGTCTTTCTGACGAGCAGACAGCTTTTTCCTGAGACCAATACTCTGGCACACGTGGTACCCAAGAGCCTCATCGGGCCTTGCCATGTGGCTCCAAGGTGGCTGCGCATCAGCCTGCGGGCTGAAGGGTCACGGGTTCGATTGCAGTCAAGGGCACTGACCTCGGTTGCAGGCTCCCCGCTCGGTCAGGGTGCATGAGGAGACACCTCATTGATGTGTCTCACATGGACGTCTCATCTTTCCTCCTCCCCACTCTCTAACAATCAGTGAAAAATACCATCATGTGAGCCACATCCCTCCCAGCCTCCCACCCACACTCTGCAGCCCGGGTGGGGTCCACCCAGCTGGTGCCAGGCTGCTGGGTGGGGCCTGGAACCCGCCTGTGCGCAGCTCAGAGGACAGTGCAACTCCCGCTGCACTGAGGGGGCAGGGACCAGGCCCTTCCTGTGGACGTGGGCGGCGAGGCGACGGGAAGGCCGGCGGGGACACGGGTGCCTCGAGCAGCGTGCCGCCCGCTCCCGTGCGCAGCGCAGCAGCCGGAGGGCTGGGTCTGCCCCTCGGACCTTGTCCGCTGGCTGGAGGGGGACGTGAGGCACTGGGACAGGAGCTGGGAAATCGGTGCTCAGCGCCTCCCAGGGCTAAGGAGGAGCCTCTCCAGGCCTGACCTGACCCCGTCTGTGGGGAGGTGGGAGCTGGGTCCCTGGTCCTCCCGCCCCCTCCCCTCCTCCACCACCCTCTCCTCTCGGCAGCTGGGTCCCTGCTGCAGCTCCTGATGCCCCTGCTCGGCCTCGGGACATCCCGCTCTCCATCCCTAGCCCAGGCCTCTGAGAGGCCCATGTTCCCTGCTGCACCCCAAGGCCCCAGCAGCAGCCGCCCCGGGGGCCTGGGGAGGGGGAGGCTCATCTGGCTCCCAAGGGGGGCAGGTATGCCCTCTCCCCCCTCGGAAGGCTCCGGAATGGGCATTGCTCGCTCCAGCTGCCTGGCAGAACAGCCAAAGGCGCCCCCTCCTCTGGGTCATGCCACCCACGGGCTTGCGAGGGCTGTGTCCAGGTTGCCTCCTGCCTCCCACTGTCCCCCAATCACCCTTCACCTGTCTGGCTGCACCCTGTGACCCCAGGGCACCTGGACCCGGGAAATTCAAACGAGCTGTTTATGGTCCCGGTACGGCCCCAATGCCACGTCTATGCTCCACGGGGGTCCCTACGAAGCAGGGGTTTATGTAGTTTTGCCAGCTCAGCTGAGTTCTAGGGCAGGAACAACATCGCTCCCTGACCAAGCGCCTTCAGGAGTCAGCAGCAGCTCACGCATCCTCCGGACGCCCGGTGCGCCCTTCGCAGCCGGCACTGTCCTGGGCCAGCCTGCCAGGGTCACACCTTCCCCTCTGCACCTCGGGGTCACCGCCTCCCTCTACCGGCCCCGCAGGGCCCTCCTGCTCTCCTCCTCGGACACCGTCCCGCACAGGGAAGGAGCGGGAGAGTGGCCGTCCCATGGGGTCTGGGTTGTTTTTTGCAAATAAAAATGAAAATTGGTTTCTGAGTGAAGGCAACGGCTCAGGAAACTGACCTCTGATGTAGATCCCACAAAAGCCTGCAGGTCTCCCCGGAGCAGCCAAAGGCAGAAACGCGCCAGCCTCCCTCCCAGCGCCGTCCTCGGTGGCCACCAGGAGCCCAGCTCTGGCTCCGGAGCCGCTCAGAAAGGGGCTCCGAGGCCGCGGGGTGGGGAGGGAGGGGCAGAGCCGCGTGGCGGGAGGGTGACAGCTCGGGCTCGGTCGGGCTCTGCAGCCAGACTGCCTTTCCCACTCAGTTCTTTTTCTTTTCACTGATCCTCACCTGAGGGTACTTTTTCCATTAAGTTTTTTAGAGAAAGTGGCAGAGAGGGAGGCGGAGAGAGAAACACTGATGTGAGAATCACACCTGGATTGGCTGCTCCCTCACGGACCCCGACTAGGACTGAGGATCGAACCCCCAACCCAGGCCCCTGCCTGTGGCCGTAACCGAACCTGTGACCCTTCCGGGAGCATGCTGCCCGGGCTCCGTCAGCGCCTGTGCTCCTGTGAGCGATCCGTGGCAAAGCCATCCTCACCCGGCTCAGCTCAACCAGCCCGTCCGCACTTTCCAGAAAATCTGTCTGAATGGTCATTATCGGGGCGGCGGGGACACACACACACACACACACACACACACACGCACGTATGGGGACACGGGCCTCGGAGCACCGAGCATCCCTGTTCTCATTGGGCTCCATTTCCTCCTCTTACAGCTTTCACCTCTGCCTCCCACCCCTGGGGGCCCCCCACAGGCACACCATCCCCCGTCCCCGCCAGCCGCCCACGGGAGCCGCCTCCTGAGCCTTCAGTCCTGTGAGTCCTGATTCAGTCTGTGTCCTATCCCGCCCTCAGCGCTCTCCAACCCCCTTCCGAGCCCAGGGCTGAGGCCGTGTCTGAGACGCACCCCCTTCCCCCCCAGCGGCTCTGGCAGCGAGCGTCCCCTCCCCTAAGTCCCCTCCCCCTTCCTGGCTATCTTCCCCTCGGGTGACACACGGATGGTCTCATCTATGGACAAACCTCTATCACCCTCCCCCCGCCCCCAACTAACTCCAATCCGACAGGCCCTCCGACCACCCTCAGGCCACAACAGGGTGAGACTTGAACCAACGGACCAACACCCGTCGAGAAGGAAACGATGGACATTCAGGGACGTCCAAGCTCACCTGCTCTCCCCTCGGCTGGACCAGGCTCGGCCCCCAGCAGACGTGCCAGGTGCCGCCCGAGGCTGAGGACCCAGAGGTGGTGGGGGGCCGGGCGAGAGCCGCTGGGAGCTGGGGGCAGACACAGGAGGCAGGGCTCCAGGCACATGGGCCTCAGGATGGAGACACGTGGAGTGCGGGGCCCTAAATCTTAGTGGGTCCAGCCAGACCCTCCACAGAATCCCTGACACGCCATCCAGTGAAGGAAACGTGTCAGCAGATGCTTAGCACCAAGCCCAGTCCACTGGGAGCCTCCCGCTCACTCTCCCCAGCGGCGCCGGAACCTCTGGCAGCAAGCTCGGTCCGGCCGCTAGGAAGGCTGAACCCATCCCCCTCGCCCTGCCCCTGCCCCTGCCCCTGCCCGGGGGGAGGGGAGAGGCCCTGCTTCCCGCGTGAGGTCTGCAGGGGAACGGCGGCAGGTGAGTCAGTGATGCAGGGCGGGGGTGACACTGGGACGTGTGTACACACACACACACACACACGGATGTAGAAACAATAAAATACTTTAATTCTCTTTACGTGGCCACAGGCCTCCCTGCGGCGAACCTTGGTGGGGCTTCTCGCGGGCTTTAGGGGACGGCGTGGTGACGGCGGTGGTGACACGCTGGTTGGTGACGCACAGGTGGTCCCAGCCGTCAGCACCGCCCGCACAGGGACCCTCTCCAACGGGCACGGCCTTGGCCTGAGGCAGCTGGTCCCAGCTGGCTGAACGCCTCAAACACAAACCGTGTGCCTTACCCTTGTTCTGGATTCTATAAAACACGGAATGTATGTACATACAGCACAACAAAGTGCCTAGCGTGCACTCTAACATAGAGCACCGAGCCCACCACGGAGCGCGGCCCCCGCCGGGCCCGTGGTGGGGGGGAAACACGGGTGTGAGGGGGATGCCGGACGGTGTGGAGCCGCCTGCGCCCTCCCCATGGGGCCCCGACACGAGAACGGACCGCTTCCCCGAGTGGGGGGGTGACAGAAGCCCGGTCACCGTCTGGGGCACACGTGTCAGACACTCTGGTACCGAGAGCGATGGCTCCTCGAGGTTCTCCAAACCACGTGAACCCCTCGGGCACAGGCCCCAGGCGGCAGCCCCCGGGGGGGCCCGGCGAGGTCTGTGCTGAGGGCAGGCTGGCTGCGGCTCGGGGCCGAGGCAGCCTTGCTCAGACACACTGGCACAGGCCCCGGGGACAGCGCCCTCCAACAGCTGGCAGACACTGGCCCCTCCACCGTGAGGGCCTTTGCAAAGCTTCCCTCCGTGTCCAGGCGGTCTGCCCCGCTCGGCTCCAGCGTGACGCTCAGACTTGGCGGGGGGAGTTTGGACCGGCCGCCGGTCTGTGTGCCGGGAGGAGGAGGACTGGGGGCCGGTAGGAACTCTCGCTGGTGGAGCCGGAGGGCCACCGTGTCTCCGCCCAGGCCTCCCCGCCCGGCGGCAGACGGGACTCCCTAAAGGTGCCCGCACAGCCTCCACACAGCGTGTTGGGAGGAGAGGCCGTGCGCTGAGCTCTGCTCGGGAACGAGTCTCCGGTGGCAGCACAGCCTCTGCCTGGGAAGCATCAGCCGGACCTGTGCTGGGAGTCCGCGGCACCAGGAACGCAGGCACCAGTGAGTGCCGGCCGCGCTAGGAGCTCTGGACCAGGCGTCTGTAGTGGGGCATGATCTCGTGCTCCGGCAGGTGCAGGGCGAACTCCAAGGCCACCAACACGGGGAACTCGAAGGCAATCAGCTCGCGTCTGTTCAGCCGGAACTTCTCCTCCAGCTTCTGCAAAGGAAGAGGAGACGAGAGCACGTGAGCTTGAAGACCGCACCCCAGCTTTCTCCCCGTGAGCCCCTCCCCACGGCCAGGGAGGTTTACAGACGGGTAGGCACGGCCGTGGAGGGCGTGAGGGCGTCAGAGCTCGGCAGCAGAGGGAGGCCTCGCACGGAACTAGTGCTGTGGCACGTGGGCGCTGGCCGTGGCGTGTAGACACCGGCCGTGGCGTGTGGGTGCTGGCCGTGGCGTGTGGGCGCTGGCCGTGGCGTGTGGGCGCTGGAGGCGTGGCATGTGGGTGCTGGCCGTGGCGTGCAGACACCGGCCGTGGCGTGTGGGCACTGGCCGTGGCGTGTGGGTGCTGGAGGTGGCGTGTGAGCGCTGGAGGTGGCGTGTGGGTGCTGGAGGCGGCGTGTGGGTGCTGGCCGTGGCGTGTGGGCGCTGGCCGTGGCGTGTAGACACCGGCCGTGGCGTGTGGGCGCTGGCCGTGGCGTGTAGACACCGGCCATGGCGTGTGGGTGCTGGCCGTGGCGTGTGGGTGCTGGAGGTGGCGTGTGGGCGCTGGAGGTGGCGTGTGGGTGCTGGAGGTGGCGTGTGGGCGCTGGCCGAGGCGTGTGGGTGCTGGAGGTGGCGTGTGGGCGCTGGAGGTGGCGTGTGGGCGCTGGCTGTGGCGTGTGGGTGCTGGCTGTGGCGTGTGGGTGCTGGAGGTGGCGTGTGGGCGCTGGAGGTGGTGTGTGGGCGCTGGTCGTGGCGTGTGGGTGCTGGCTGTGTGGGCACCAGCCGAGGAGACGAGAGTTTCCTTACGCCATGGGGATGTCCTTTGAGAGGAGAAGCCCGGGCCCTCCCCCGAAAAGACCACCACCGAGGCCACAGGAGGCCGAGGTCAGTGACCGTGTGTGATGGACGCCTGGGTGAGCAACACAAGACCCGTGGCAGAGTCACACGGGGCAGGGCGGCCGGCCACGGCCACGGCCACTCACATCGATCAGGTGCTTGACCTCGTGCTTCCGGAGGTCGCTGCTGATCTTGGCGGCCAGCAGCACGCAGGCCCCCGCACAGAGCTTGCGGTTCTGCTTGTTGAGCTTCCCCCTGAGGGCCAGCTTCTCGAAGTAGACGAAGGCCGCGGCCACCGTGGGCTCCTCGAGGCCGCAGTCCTCCTGCGCCAGCTTCCGCATCTCCCGCTTCAGGCTGGAGGGCGGGAGGGCCTGCTGAGCCTGAGCACAGCCCGGACCAGGCTCGCCCGAGAGCACCTCCCTCCCGGTCCCCAGGGGACGGCCCGACACGTGAGCCGGACGCTGCGTCACGGGAGACGCGTCTGGGCCAGCCGCCGCCCACCAGGGTCCGTGGGGGCCCAGAGGGTGGCAGCCGTGGTCTAGACCCCGTGGCGTGGGTGCACACGGGACCCCAGGGTGGGCGGGGTCCCTGGACGCTCGGAGAGCTGCCCGATGGAAGAGGGACCCCACGGAGGACCAGGTCCCGCCAGAGACAGAGACAAGGCGTGAGGTGGGCGTCGGAGTCCGTTACTGACGTCAGGAGGTCAGCTCGGAGCACACGGGCGGCTGCGGTGAGGGCAGCGCGGAGCCCAAGCTCTGCTTACCTCTGGTCAAACCGAACACGCCAGCACCAGGTCAGCACCGAGGCCCGTGTGGACAAACATGCTGGCACTTACTCCTACATGGCATTGCCACACGCAGTCCAGCCCGTTTACCACACTCTCACACACATGCACACACATGCACACATGCTCTCCTGGTACAGGCACCACACGCCAGTCTCCTCCGGCGCAGCCAGAGACTGGGTGGCCAGCAGACGTGTCCCCCAAATGGACCACTGCCCACCAGGAAACGGCCTGGTTTTGCTGTAGGACAGGGCGCAGCCGTGCCTCCTGAGGGGCCGTGAGCAGGGAGCCGTTCCAGACCAGGAGCCCAGCTCCTCCCCTGCTTTGTCTGCGTCTGAGGACACAGGGCCCGTGTCTCCCAGGCCGCTTCCTGTCTCACAAATCGGGCTGAACGACAGGCTGCAGGCATGGCAGCGGGAATGACAGCTGGTCCTTGCCAGCTCCTGCCACGAGACCGCCTCTGCCCTCCGCCCTCCGCCCTGGTGCCCACAGGGCCCTCCCGGCAGCTAGCCCCTTGTGGGCCTTTCTTGTAGTTCTCACCCAAGGACACTCTCCGGTTGATTTTTAGAGAGAGGAAGAGAGGGGGAGAGAGACGTTGGTGTGAGACACTGACTGGCTGCCACCACACACGCCCCCACTGAGGCCAGGTCCGTGCCCTTGACTGAAACACAAATCTGCAAAACCCACCCCCGCCCCAGGATGCTGTAACCATCGCGCCACCGCCAGGGCCCAGGAGCCTCTGCTGAACGGCCGCCGGAGCCTGTGTGAGGGGCGCGGAGGGGCCGAGGGCGCGAGCGGCCGTACCTCCTGATCTTGCTGAGCGTGAGCTTGATGTGGGGGAACCGCTCCCGGAACGCCTCGTTCATGTCCTTCTTGAGGTCCGAGGGCTTCACGTAGGCGATCACTGTGGTCTGCAGGGAAGGCAGCCAGGTCACGCCCGCCCACCCACCCGCGGTCCTGGCCGGCACTGCAGAGGACGCCACAGTGACGCCCACACCCACGCCCCCCCCCTCCCAGGGAGCCCGGGAGCCCGGCCCGAGGAGGCCCCGCCTCCAGAGACAGGGGCCTTGGCAGGACCGGGGACGCGCAGCACACGGCCTCTGACCTGCAGGATCAGCGCCTGGCGGGGAGGAGCCCCACTCGCACACCATGGGTGCACACGGTGTCACCCCACACCGGCAAATGAGCTCCCTACTGTGCGCTGGCTCAGACCAATGAGCTCCCTACTGTGTGCTGGCTCAGCCAGAAGAGCTACCTACTGTGCGCTGGCTCAGACCGATGAGCTCCCTACTGTGCGCTGGCTCAGACCGATGAGCTCCCTACTGTGCGCTGGCTCAGACCGATGAGCTCTGGTGGTTGCTTTTAAAGAAACACTTGACCTCACAGGTCAGAGTGGAAAAGAACTACCCACAGGTCTGGTTCACTGTGTCAGCAGCTGGGGAATAAGGAGGGAAGAGCACGGAGTGGGGGCAGTTTTAAACTAAATGCCTTTGGCCCGGCCTGCGTGCTCAGAGGTTGAGCATCGTCCTACGAGGAGGTCACGTTCGATTTCCGGTCAGGGCACATGCCTGGGCTGCAGGCTGGGGTGTGGGGTGTGCAGGAGGCAGCCAGTCAGTGATTCTCTAGCATCACTGATGCTTCTCTCCCTCTCTCCTTCTCTGTAATCAATAAAAACGTATTTTGACAATGAGTGAGTACGCTAAATGCCTTTGGTAACCCATCCCGGCTCTGGGGCCATCGGAACGTCCGGCTCCCGCCCAGTTACAGGAGACACGCGGCCGTGGCGGGCTGTGGGGATGGGGGGGGGGGCGGGCTGTGGGGATGGGGGCCGTGGGGACGGGGGGGCCGTGGGGACGGGGGGCCGTGGCGGGCCAGGCCCGGTTTCTCTGACGGTGGCTCGTGGCCAGATGTTCCGTGAGGAGAGGCCGAGGGCGGGCCCTGCGAGTGGGTGCCCGGCGGCTTCCAGACGGGACAGGAGCCTGTCCCGGGCGCAGGCCCGGCTCCCTGCTCGCTGTGCCCTCCGGCCGGCAGGGGCGCCGGGCGTTCCGGTCCGCTCTCCGCCGATTCCCGTGTGCAGCCCCGGGGCAGCGGGTTCCCGAAAGCCCTCGCCTCTCCCCACGTCCTCCGAGTGGGCGCGTCCCCCTAAGAAGGCCTCTGATCTCGGGACACGGCCGCCCGGAGCAGAGCGGCGGGAGGCGGTCAGCAGGAGCCGAAACCACACGCGCAGGGAAACAGGAAAAGCCCGAGAAGCAGCCGCATCGAGGAAGGCCGCGTAACCCCCACCGTCCTGCTCGCACCTTCCCGGAGGGCTCAGCCGCCCTGAGCCCGGGCCACGTGGCTGCTCAGCGGCACCGCAGCCCCCGCCCTCCTGGGAGGACTCCACCGAGCCGGCCCCCCCGCCCTCCTCGAGGGTCTGAAACGCCACGCTTTGGCGAGAGCCGGGAGCCAGCGTGACCAGAACGCTGGGTGGCCACGCTCCCGTCCCCCGTCCGCAAGGCACCCGGAGGGTCCCCGGCCGAGCAGGGTCTGAGGGCCCGTCCGGCCGCGCCGAGGGCCTGCTCCCCCAGGCCGCCCGCCCTGCCAGCCACCCACCATGTAGGACGGGAAGATGAGCACCCGCTTGTGCTTCCCGCACGGCCACTGGGGGTCGTCCAGGAGGTTGGGGTCGTAGTCCACGAAGTCTCCCAGGTCGCTGCCTGCGGGCACAGCAGAGGGACAGTGAGGGCCTGGCCGCGGGCCCCTCGGTGCAGACCCTCAGGATGTCCTCATCGGACCCTGGGCTGCGGGCGGCTGTGTGAAGAGCCCGACCTGAGCAGGAGTGCAGGCAAGGCCGGGTGGCGGGGCGACTGAGGCGCAGGGAGGTGGCGAGGAGCCAGGTCCGCCCGGCCCCTCCGCAGGAGGCCGTGGGGGTTCCCGGGCCCCCCAGGGGCTGGGCAGAGGCATCTCCCTGGAGGGGCCCTGTGCGGCTGCGAGGCCCGTGGCCCGGAATCCTCTCGCCCAATCGCTCGCTGCGGCACGAGCTCACACTCAGGGACCGGCCTCCAGTCTGCCCACGGGGACCCACCCACACCGGCCGGCAGCCCACCTGCGTCGAGGCTCCCCTGGGTGCTGCTGGCCCGGCCCAGCGAGAGGCTGCGGTGGCTCAGGGTGCGGAGGTGGGAGAAGGAGCAGGTGGAGTCGATGGTGGCCCTCCGGGCGCCCAGGGCGTTGGTGGGCCACAGGAACTGGGTGTAGGACACCGTCTGGAAGGAAGGCGGAGGGTGGTGACGGGCGCCCCCAGGGGCGGGGCTGACCGACCCGGCGACACGCCCACTACTCCCAGCGACTGGCCATCACTCGGCCAAACCTGCCGAAGCGCTGCCCCCACCCCCGCAGACGTGCGTGTGATGACACGGCGTGCTGTCCTGACGCTGTGGGGACGGGGGGGGGGGACGGGGGGCCGTGGGGCGGGGGGGCCGTGGGGGCGGGGGAGGGCGTGGGGGCGGGGGAGGGCGTGGGGACGGGGGGGCGTGGGGACGGGGGGGCCGTGGGGACGGGGGAGGGCGTGGGGACGGGGGGCCGTGGGGACGGGGGGGCCGTGGGGACGGGGGGCCGTGGGGCGGGGGGGCCGTGGGGATGGCAGCCGTGGGGACGGGGGGCCGTGGGGACGGGGGGCCGTGGGGACGGGGGGCCGTGGGGACGGGGGGGCCGTGGGGACGGGGGGCCGTGGGGCGGGGGGGCTGTGGGGACGGGGGCCGTGGGGACGGGGGGCCGTGGGGACGGGGGGCCGTGGGGACGGGGGGGCCGTGGGGACCGGGGGCCGTGGGGCGGGGGGGCTGTGGGGACGGGGGGGCTGTGGGGGGGCCGTGGGGACGGGGGAGGGCGTGGGGACGGGGGAGGGCGTGGGGCTGTGGGGGCCGTGGGGACGGGGGGCCGTGGGGCGGGGGGGCCGTGGGGACGGGGGGGCTGTGGGGGGGCCGTGGGGACGGGCGAGGGCGTGGGGACGGGGGAGGGCGTGGGGACGGGGGAGGGCGTGGGGCCGTGGGGGCCGTGGGGCGGGGGGGCCGTGGGGACGGGGGCCGTGGGGACGGGGTGGGGAGGGGACGGGATGGGGAGGGGATGGGCCTTGGGGATGGGGGGCCGTGGGGAAGGGGGCCGTGGGGACGGGGGGGGCATGGGGACAGGGGGCCGTGGGGACAGGGGAGGGCGTGGGGACGGGGGAGGGCGTGGGGACGGGGGGGCCGGCGTGCGGACGGGGGAGGGCGTGGGGACGGGGGGGCATGGGGACGGGGGGCCGTGGGGGGGGGCCGTGGGGACGGGGTGGGGAGGGGACGGGGTGGGGAGGGGATGGGCCTTGGGGATGGGGGGCTGTGGGGATGGGGTGAGCTGCATTGGCACAGGCGGGCACCTGCAGCGTTCCAGGCCCTGACGGCTGGAGTCCCTGACGAGGTATGTGCCCTGAGCCCTGGGCAGGTCCATCCACAGGGCTCCCCTCCACTGTCCCCCCCATTCCCGGGCGGACACTCAGCCTTCTCAACTGCTGCCGGGGACCATGGGTCGGGCCCTGGGGGCGGCTCCCTGCATGCTCACTGCCGACAGTCTCCCCAAGGACACCCTGCACGTCTCCCCAACAGGCTTTGGGGCTCGTGGAAAACCTCACCCCAGCCTGGTGAGGGGCGCATGGCAGCGGGGGCTCCGCCGGAGCCGGGGGGCTCGCAGCCTCAGGGTCCCAGGAGGCCGGCCGACACCCTGGTCTGGTTGTGGGCAGGCGGCTTGCGGGCACCATCCGTTATTGCTGTTCATCCAACCCACATCCCTGCACCCAGAGCACGCGTGTGGACATGTGTGTGGACACGTGTGTGTGTGTGTGTGTGTGTGTGTGTGCGTGCGCGCGCCCGCTAGGAGCAGAGGGCTGGTGTCAGGAGCCCAGGAAGGTGCCCTCACCCCCGAGCGAGGCATGTGGCCTGCCCCCCTCCCTTTCTTCCCACCGCCCCCTTTGCCTCCCGAACCCGGGCCTAGGCACAGGCTCACAACAGGAGCCGGGCAGCTTACCTTCCCGTCAGCGCCCAGCTCCACGCCCTCCAGGCCGATGACCTCCTTCAGGCTCATGGCACCCACTGACTGTCGCCCTCCGTCCGACTTCAGGTCCCTGGAGGACAAGCCAGAGAAGACGTGCTGTTTGCACCCGGAAGAGACACTGGGACGCACACCACACTAAGCACCACTGGTGCTGACGGGAGGGACTGGGCAGGACGGCCGGGCCTCCCCTGCCCCTCGCTGGGCGGGCTCAGCAGCTCAAGGGCAGCCCCCCTCAGTCTTCTCTTCTCTCCCCCCCATCTCTTCCGCCCCCCTCCCCCCCCGCCTCCCCCTTCGCCCTTCTCCCTCTCCCCCGCCTTCTCCTCCCCCCCCCGGCCTTCCACCCGCCCCCCCGACATGAAGGACGTGCAGCCGAACGAGCGCCTGAGGGAGGGGTGCAGAGTGAGGGACCCCGCTCCCTCCGCCAGCCAGTCCCTCCTCTCGGTGACGCCCTGGCACGGGGACTGCGTTCTCTGGGCTGGTGCTGCTGGCTTCTTGTTAAATCGGGGGACCCCTCTCGCCCCCTTTGTTAGCCAGGAGAAAGAATCTCCCTTCTGAACAGCTCAGGCTTACTGCTGGCCACGAACCACTGGGCCACAGGAGTCACCCACCCGCCTGGCCGGGCCCCCTGGACATGAGTATCTGCTTATAAAACACGCTAACAGCACGCTAACAGCACGCAGTTACAGGACATGGCACACTGACAAGGCTTCTGTGGACGAACACTGAAGTCTCCAAACGTCACCCATGACCTCTAGGCCACCCACCAGCTCCTCCCAGGACCGAGGGGCAGCACCGCCCGCAGAGAACGGTGCGCCCGTCCGCCCGGCTCCACGGCGGCCTGGGCCACGGCCGTGCTCTCGGGGGGAGGCCCGCCGGGACCACGTCTGACGGCAGCCAGGGCCCCCCGGGCATCGCTCCTGAAGGACAATGCGCTGAACACGTCGGCGTGTAAATGACTTAGAAGCTAATTACACGTTAACAGGCTTTCCAGATGCTTAACAGCAGCCAGAGACGTGCTTCACGGAGCACAGAGCGTGAGGCTGGCACTGCTGGGGCTGCACCGCCAGGCTCAGCGACACGGCCGACAGACCCCTCGCTGTCGCCCCAGCACAGCCGCCATTGGGCACTCTGCCCGCGGGTCCAGAGCAGACGGTACCCCAGTTCGGAACCAGTGGACCGGCCAGGCCGCCAGGCTGCTGACGATCAGAGCAGCGTTCAGTCCTTCGGGCTCCCACTGAGCACGCCGTCCACACGCCATCCACACGTCACCCCACTGAGAGGGGCTCCAGGGACAAGACAAGTCCCCTCCCGACTTCCACCAGGAAATGACCTGGGAGAACCCCCTTCCCTCCCCAAGCTCCATTCCAGCCAGGACCGTCCCAGCTCACGGGAACGGAAGGCTGGCTGACCTGCGCACACGGCTGCTGTGTGCATTTCACGCCGACCACAGGATGCTCGGTCGGGAGGTGACATGGAGCTGTTGGAGGGCGAGGCAGGCAAACCGCTGACAGCCAGAGACCCGAGGGGTGTGGACAGAGACGGGGAGCTGGTGTTGTCCGAATGCACCCCGCCCTGCACCCCCTCCATGCCGATTATGCCCCGGGAAAGACTGAATTCCCAACGGGAAAGAACGGGAAAAGAGGGCAGTTATTAGAAGCATCTCCTACCTAAGAGGGCAGTAAGGTGCCGGGGAAATTCCAGGGCAGCAAAGTGCAAGCAAAGCCAACCAGCCCTGGCCCATGCGGCTCAGTGGACAGAGCATCTGCCTGTGGACCAAAGGGTCTCGAGTTCTGCTCCTGCCAAGGACACGTACCAGGGCTGCGAGTCTGACCCCCACCGGGTTAGGGCCCCAGTAGGAAGAATCAATCCATGTGTCTCTCTGCCTTTCCCCTCCTCCCTCCCTTCCACTCTCTCTAAAAACCATTGAAAAAATGTCCCAGGGTGAGGATTCACCAAAACAAAACGACAGGAAACAAAAAACCAGGCCAAACAGCGAGGGGTGCTGGCAGCCAGCCTGTCAGTAACAAGCCTGGTGTCCCCGCCGAGGCCGCGAGAGCCAAGGGCCAGAAACCTCGCTGAGGAGCGGACGCGGAGGGAGGGGGGGAACGGGCCTGTCACTCCCCAGCAGAGAAGCCAGCCTCGGGCTGGGCAAGGCTCAGTGGCAGGCGCTTCGCAGGAATTCTGGGAAGGCCACGCCAAGTAAACAGGGGCCTGAGACTGAATCTGCACCAAGACCGTCAGCAAGGAACTGGGAAACCTACAGGCAGGAGGGCCTGTCAGGCTTCGGACCCCCAACCGCTCTGGGATCAGCCGAGAGCCCGCTGCTCCGTGAGCCAGGGGGTGGGCTGCGTGCCCGGCTTCTTCAGGAAAGGTGCAGTGTCAACGGCTCTGACACGGGCTTGGCCGCAGCGCACTGAGCTCTCTCCTGATCCGTCTACGTGAGAAGCTGCTGGGCTGGGACAGCGCTCCCTCCAACTGGACCGACTCTGGTGTCGGGGAGGGGCTGGCAGGACGACTAAGTCAGGGGCGCACGTAAAGCTCCCCCACCCCCACGCCCCCCGGCCGGCCTGTCTGCTAGGCTCGCAGAAGTCAGGAGCCGGTCGGTCCAGTTGAGCTTAGACCCAAGGACAAACCAGCGGGGCTGGATGGGGGCGGCTGCGGAGGCAGCAGACAGACCCGGAGAGACAAGGCCACCCGGAAGGGGAAGGGACTTTTGAGTTTCCTGTTTTTAAAGCGTTCTTGGGATGAAGTTGGGGTGGTCTGCGCCTGTCAGAACAATCGGGCACACGTGGCCTGGTCCACATGCCCACGTACAACGGAACCACGGGAGCCAGAAGCCGCGGTGAGCAGCCCCGAGCGGAGGCGGGCGGCCGGCTCAGCTGGGAGTGGGGGGTAAGGAGCGTCCTCCGTGCCTGAGGGCCCGGCTGCCGGGCAGCGAAGCCACCACCGCACCCTCACGACCTCTCCACCAGGACTTCTGGGCTTCGGTCCTGGTCACGGAGAGGGCTTTAGCGTAAAAGGAAAGAAACTGTCCACAGTGAGAACATGCTGGTTAACATGTACGTGAACTACAGTAGTTTAAAAAACATGTACACGTGTAAATTTACCAGCATACTTATCATTAGAGCATAATTGTTTCCCAATTATCAGTTTAAAAATCATAAGTGGCAGTTACTATAAATAGGATATCTGTTCATGAAAACATTTAAAAAGCAGGACTGCCCGGCCAGTGTGGCTCAGTGGTTGAGCATTGAAACAAGAGGTCATGGTTCGATTCCCCGTCAGGGCACATCCCCAGTGTGGGGCGTGCAGGAGGCAGCCGATGCGTGAGTCTCTCTCATCATTGATGGCTCTGTCTCTCTCTCTCTGAAATCAATAAAAATATATTTTAAAAATGAGCCTTTAAAAAAATATATATTTTATTGATTTTTTACAGAGAGGAAGGGAAAGAGTTAGAAATTCTTTCCCTTCCTCTCTGTAAAAAATGAGAGAGAGTCATCGATCAGCTGCCTCTGGCACACCCCCTACTGGGGATATGCCTGCAACCAAGATACATGCCCTTGACCGGAATCAAACCCGGGACCCTTCAGTCCCCAAGCCGACGCTCTATCCATTGAGCCAAACCGGTTTCGGCAATATATTTAAAAAATGAAAAGCAGAACACTTCTCAGTCCTGCTGCTCAAGCTGCCATGTGCTCCGTTCTCCCGAGGACTCAGCGTTCGCTGCCGGTGGGACCCGGGGACCCGGCCGAGGGCTGGTACGGAATCTACCCCTTCTGCATCTTGGTTTCTCGTCTATAAAAGTGGAGTGAGTGCGGGTTGGAGTGTTCGTATCCAAGATGTGAGGTGGTGTCCGGTGAGCCCTGCCCACTCCGCCTCTGCCTCCCCTCCGGGGCCAGAGCAGGATGGTCTCCCAGCAGCCCCAGGCGACTCCCCTCAGCACCCACGGCTTCGCCTCCTGCGGTTTCAGTGACCCCTGGGCCACTGTGGCCCGAAAATATTAGATGGGAAATTCCAGAAACAATTCGCACGTTTGAATTCTGCGCCCCCCTCGGGTCAGGACTGGCTCCGCGGGCTGGTCGGGCTCCGGCCCAAGCCCAGGCACAGCAGGCAGAGTGAGCACACAGCTCGTGGCACTCCTTTCCTGACCGGCCTGTCTCCAGAGCTGGCCGGCCGGCCGGGGTGGGCCCTGCACTGTCCCTCTTCACAGCATCGGGAGATGCCAACAGAAGCATATCAGAAGCAGCAGGCAGCATTGCGAGGACACATACATGTTCGCTCTCACACACACACCCCCCGATACACATGCGGACACACACAGGGATACACACGGGGACACATTCGGGGACACACACACACACCCCTGCAGGACTCTTTCTGGCTGAGAGCAGGTGGAGCGTTTCCTGTGACGGTCACACACTCCATTTTCCGTGTCAGAGGCCGGGCAGCACCTCCCCGTGGCCCCGCGGCCGCTCGCCCAGAGAGCACGGCGAGATGCTACGTACCCGGGCTGGGCACCGTCCCGATACGGCAGCACCGAGAAGACGCTGCAGAAGGACCGCCTGCCGCTGAGGAGGACGATTCTACCAACAGAACAGAAAAGAACAAACTGAATGCAAGACTCTTACATTTAAAATCCCCGCGACGGCCAAAGCCGGTGTTGCTCAGTGGATAGAGCGTCGGCCTGCGGACTGAAAGGTCCCAGGTTCGATTCCGGTCAAGGGCATGTACCTTGGCTGCGGGCACATCCCCGGTAGGGGGTGTGCAGGAGGCAGCTGGTCGATGTTTCTCTCTCATCGATGTTTCTAGCTCTCTATCCCTCTCCCTTCCTCTCTGTAAAACTCAATAAAATATATTTTAAAAAATCCCCGCGATGAAGAGCGCATGGGATCCGAGCCTGCCGCTCCCGCCATCTGCTGACGCTGCCTCTGATCCCGCTCGACAGCGAGTCCTCCTCCGTGCCACCTGCAGCTGAGGCTGCCCAGGCAGACAGTGTGGGCTGAACTGGTGCCCCGTGTGCCCGCAGCCACCGGAACCCCGGCTCCCGCCCTGCACCCGGAGCCAGAGCGACGGGCCAGCCCTGAGGGGGAGACGCACGCACACACGCACGCACGCACGCACGGCTCGTCAGGCGTGACTCTCTCCTAACGCGTGAGCTGGGGGCCAACCCAGGACCACAGCCTCAGCCTCCGTCGGCCACACGCCCCTCGCCCACCACTCCCCGTGGGAACGGCTCTCCACGGCTGGCGCTCCCCCGCCACCGGAGGGCGCTCCCCCGCCACCGGAGGGCGCTCCCCCGCCATCGGAGGGCGCTCCCCAGCCATCGGAGGGCGCTCCCCCGCCACCGGAGGGCGCTCCCCCGCCACCGGAGGGCGCTCTCAGCCATCGGAGGGCACTCCCCCGCCATCGGAGGGCGCTCCCCCGCCACCGGAGGGCGCTCCCAGCCATCGGAGGGCACTCCCCCGCCATCGGAGGGCGCTCCCAGCCATCGGAGGGCACTCCCCCGCCATCGGAGGCTGCTCCCCCGCCATCGGAGGGCGCTCCCCCGCCATCGGAGGGCGCTCCCCAGCCATCGGAGGGCGCTCCCCCGCCATCGGAGGGCACTCCCCCGCCATCGGAGGGCACTCCCCCGCCATCGGAGGGCGCTCCCCAGCCATCGGAGGGCGCTCCCCCGCCATCGGAGGGCACTCCCCCGCCATCGGAGGGCACTCCCCCGCCATCGGAGGGCGCTCCCCCGCCATCGGAGGGCGCTCCCCCGCCATCGGAGGGCGCTCCCCAGCCATCGGAGGCCGCTCCCAGCCATCGGAGGGCGCTCCCCCGCCATCGGAGGGCGCTCCCCCACCATCAGAGGGCGCTCTCAGCCATCGGAGGGCACGCAGACAGGCATCGCAAGCTCCTCTCCACTGGTCCCGGCGTGGAGACTCTGACCTGTTCCCCTTCGTAACTGTCACCTGGAGCCAGCGGACAAGACAGCTCCACAGTCAGGCTCGGGCTCTGACCGTGTCTCCGAGCGTGGTGGGCGAGGGAGGAACTGTAACTGCCTGTTGGAACTCACCATGCAGAAGGACTCGCCCACCCACCGTCAAACCCGCCTGCCTGCCTGTCCTCTGCTATTCTCTGCCTGCCGAGCCCACAGCACACCCATGACCTCCCATGTGTCCCTCAGCACTGGCTCCCAGGCCCCTCCCAGGGAGCCCGTCCCAAGTTACTCATTCCCCTCAGGCTGCTTCCGCTCCCGACTCCCTCTCAGGGGCACCACCCGAGCGGCTACCAGGGGCCGCGCCCCTCCCACCGTGGGCGCAATGTGGCACCCGCCCCCACGCCCTGGGAGCACCGAGTCCCCGCCACGGGTCAGGACTGCGCTGCTCACTGCAGTGACTCCGTCCACAGTGGCCGACAGGGCCCAGCTTCACACACGGGCTCCTGAGCCGGGCCCCACGGGCAACGGGGAGGAACTGTAAGTGCCAGTTGGAACGCACAACCGTGCACAGAGCACAGGGAGCCGTCAGAGCCGGTCCCGTGGGGGAGGGGTCAGTTTCACCAGCGGGCTCAGACTGAGAACCCTGCAGTCTGTGCTCCAGGAGAGACGAGGACCCCCCGCGTGGCCTGTCCTCTTCTCCCTCGAGGGGATTCTCATTGGCTGCCCAGCCCCGAGGCCTGCGGGCCACACCCCCGCCGCTCCGCTCCGGTCCGCTCCGTGCTGTTTGCTCAAGCAGACGTAACACAACTGCTCACGGCGTCCATCCGACACCGGGTTCTAAATGTTTCCCCCGTGGGCCTGCGCCCCGCTCCTCCGAGACCGGAAGAGGCGCCTCCTGCAGGGGGCTGGGCACCCAGGGCTCCTCGGACGACAGACGCCCAGTGCCCTGCCTCCCCCGGGCTGAGGAATCCTTGCACCCCAGCCTGCTGGCCACCAGGCAGAGCACGGGGCGGGCACAGAGGCGACCAATCCCCACAACGGCCGAGACATCAGGGCTCTGTCCCCGCTCTGCACAGCCTGGGCCCCGTCCAGGCGGGAGGAGAGGGCCTGACCCCCACGCCACCCCGCTCTCCACAGGAGAAGAGCCTGGAAGCCCCTCTCCCCGGCGGGAGGAAGGCAGGCGGGGGCAGACTTGTCCGCTTAGCGAGGCTTCGCCTCCCTCGGGGCCACCGACTGGCTGGGAATTTCCACTGGAACCAGAGTGTGAGCGCATGCACACGCCTGAGAAACGCGGGTGTTCTTTCCACGGCTTCGCCACCGAGGCCCCTCAGTCAATGAGCTGCTTGTTCGGCTTCGAGATCGCGCTGTGGTCTGGCCGGGAGCCTGGGGCGGCTGGCAGCTCGCGTCCATTCAGAAAAGCTCGTTCCGCCAACAGGGCAGGCCCAGCAGCCGGCTGGGGGAGGCGAGGGCGGACCACACGCCTCCCTTTCTCAGCCACTGTCAGCTCCCGCCCGCCTTCCCAGGGACAGAGAAGTCCACGGTGCAGCGAGAACACGCCCCACGCGTGTCCCGAAGTAGTTCTGGGTCCGGGGCGGGAGGCCTCGGCCTGAGCAGCACACACCAGGGGGAGGCGAGCCCGTGCCTCTGCTTCCGGCAGCTCCACGCTGACTCCAGAGCCCGTGGGCTCCGGCCGGGGTTCCTGTGAGCGTGCTGACCTGCTGTGTGTCCGTCCTGCACACGCACACGACGTCAGGCTCTCGGCCCCTACACGCGTGTGTGCGTTTGGAGAAGCAGATCGGACGCAGCACAAGACGACGTGACAGCCCCGCTCCGTCCTGATGGCCGACGGCTTCCGGAACCGGCGCCTCCACGTCTCCCTCCGGCCAGGGCGCCCTCCTCCAGCGCGAGGGGCCCGCGGAGCCGTGTCCGTCAGGATGAGCAGGAAGCAGAACACGGAGGGAGGGCCTCCAAAGAGGCACTGAGAGCTGGGCCTCGGGGGGTTCGAGACCACGGTCCCACACAGCCCGTCAGCGCGGAGCCCCGGGCTGGGCTCCCTGGGCCAGGGTGTCCACAGCCTCCAGGAGGCTCCCTCTGACTCTTCTCCACGCAGCCCTTCCCGTGCTTAGGAGCCAGGCACACGATCGTGAGGGGGAAGGGGAGGGCGAGTCGGAATAGTCCACTTAGCACATCCAGTTGGTACTTTTAAAACTTTGTACTTACAATAAGAAAATACGTTGACTGTGTAAACATTATTGGACAAAAGAGCTCAGTGTTGCTATTCGCTTAGAAAGGAGGTGTGAACTCCAGGAAAACAAGCCTGCAGGCTGTCGTCATGATTGTTCATGCTGCACCACCGTTTGTACAGCTGGGCCTCCTCCTCCCCGGAGTCTGACAGCCGTTTCGTCTGCTCCACGCAGACCTGTGGCTGGAAACCGCAGCTCTGGCCCCGTGCGTGGCTCTCCCACAAAACACCACGTGCGGGCGCGCACGGACAGTGCGACGGGAACTCAGTGGCCCATGCGCAGAAGTCGGTTTCCGGCCTGGGCGAGACTATTGTGAACAAGTGGCATTAGAACACTCGGGGCCAAAGAGCCGCATGTGGCTCTCGAGCCTTGGCTTGCTGACCACTGTACTAGCCATGCGGGGCCTTTTGCGAACAGAAGATGAAGCAGAATGGTCGGCTCTGGGATGGTGTCCTAACGCCTCCGTTTGGGGCCCCACTGCCCAGGTCAGAGGTCAGCAGAGGGAGCTGCCCCTCAGGGTGCAGCACCAGGGACCCCGAGCCGCCGTGGGCTCTGGTCCAACGTGGCCTCGCCGCCGAGAATGCACGCAGCCCCCTCCCAACGCTCCAGCAGAGACGACTCCGGCCTGCGTGTCCCGGACAGTGTTCTCGTCGGGGTCCTGTGGCTCTCACGACAGTGCTTTCCGGAAGGCCCCGTGGAGAAGCTGGAGGAACAGGTGCCACCGGCCTGGCAGCATGGCCAGGGCCCAGGGTGCCTGCAGGCATGGCCACGGCTCCCCTCCTGCAGCTCCACAGCCGCCTCCTCCCTTTTCCCTCCCCCCCAGGCCTGGGGGCATCAGCTGAGCAAGGCGCACGGCCCAGGTGGAACAGAAAACAGCCCAACAAAGCAGGAAAAGGGAAAAGACAAAACACGAAAATCCAACTGGTTTTCTCTTCAAAGGCTTCCATGAGAATATGCTTGTGTTGTATTCAAGACTCAGTGCGGCCTGGCCGGTGTGGCTCAGTAGATAGAGCCAGTCAGCCTGCAGACTGAAGGGTCCCGGGTCGATTCCCTCCAGGACACAGGCCCGGGTTGTGGGCTCGATCCGCCAGTGGGGGGCGTGCAGGAGGCAGCCATTCATGATTCTCTCTCATGAATGTTTCTGTCTCTCCCCCTCTCCCTTCCTCTCTGAAATCAATAAAAACATTTAAAAAATGAAAAGACACAGTGTGTGGTTAACCTAAATCTCACCGAGCCTTGGGCAGTGTGAGGAAGCACTGCCTTCTACAGACTTCTCGGGATGAGTCTGGCAGGAGGGGGGTGAAAGGTCACAGGAGAGTCTGGCTTCATTTGGCCGATCCGGCATCAGGTCCCCGCGCCCTCGCCCACCCGCCCTCCTGCAGCCGGGACGAGGCCGCCAGAGGCAGTACCTGCCGTTCCTCGTGTCGTGCTGCCGCATGTTCTTGATAAAATGTATCTTCTTGAAGCTCTTGGGTCTGGGCGAACCGGAGAGAGTCCGACATCTGAAAAACAAGGTCGTTTAAAAGTGCGGTCAGCGGCCCGCGGGACGGCCGAGCATCGCCACACAAAGCCAGGAAGGAAAGACCAGACACACGGTGAGTCACCCCGGGATAATGAGGACAATATGGCGGGGAGGAGGAAGCTTAAAAAAAACCGACGACAGACAGCTTCCGTGATGATGCCGATAGCAGTTTATGCGAGTCCAAACGCCAGCTCATGAAAACCATGGTCCTCCGTCAGTGACAACAGCACAGCCTCCCGATTCCACACACGGAGTTCCCGCCCTCCTGACACCTCCTGCACCAGCGCGGGAACGGGACAGAAGACTGAACGTGAGGGTTCGAGGGACGCAGCCCGGTGCAAAGTGGGGGAAAGTGGGGGAAAGACAGCCCGGATCCGATCCATCCCTCTCGACAGCAGACTCGGGCCTGAGCCGCTTCGGTTTCAGCCGGGCTCCACCTGGAGCTGCACTCGAACGAGAGGGAGTGGCTTCTTTTCCAAGATAAATTTTAAATAAATATTTGTTGGACAGGACGACCTGGGTTGAAGTTAATTTTTCCTGGAACGAGGGCACGGGCTCGCAGGCGGGGCTGACAGCACGGCGGCTGAAAGGTCTTTGTGTTGTGTGTTTTCACAGTTGCCGGGTGCAGGCCAAGCTCCGCAGCTGCAACAACACGGAGGCAGACACCCAGCACACGCGAGGACAGGGCAGTCTTTCCTTGGAGAAGGGAGCTGGGACTTTTCTGTTCGGGTTTTTGCTACCAAACACTGTTGTTCACTCAGCCCAGGGGTCGGCAAACTCCTTAGTCACCAGAGCCAAATACCAACCGCACGATTGACATTTCTTTTGAGAGCCACATTTTTTAAACTTAATCTTCTTCTAACGTAAATTCTTCAAAATAGACTCCCCCAGGCCCTGGCATTTTGTGGAAGAGCCACACTCAAGGGACCAAAGAGCCGCATGTGGCTCTCGAGCCACAGTTTTCCAGGCCCCCAGGGCTGATTCTGCCACTGGGAGATGGGACCCCAGAACTTAGCCTCAGAGAGGAAGGTGCGGGAGCTGTGCCCACTGCCGAAGCCACAGCGAAGTCCGGCTGGGTCCTCAACTTCAGTCAGGTCTGAGCTTTGAGGCCTCGGGGACTGGGTAACAAGGGAACCAACACGCAGGCGGGTGTGGGCAGGCGGCTGAGGACCGGACGGGCGGGGTCACAGACGCACAGCCACGCAGCCTCTCAAATACCCCGAGGGCCAAGCTCAGGGAATTAGGTCCAGGCCTCGGGGTGTCGTCCCCCGAGCCCCTGTACCCACCTCTAGGAAGGGCCAGTCTTTCCAGAAGCCTTTCGCCAAAGGGCACTGACACCGACTTGTTTCTAAGAAGCAGCCCCTTCAAATGTGACTTCACTGGCAAGCAATCGCAGTGGAGCCAGGAGTGTGGCAGAAGCAAAGGCATGGCATCAGGTATGTGGGGGTGACTCCGCAGGAAAAGGGGGCTCCCTGGCATTGGGTCTGTCAGGTCGCTGCATCCGAGCAGGGTCCGCAGGCCCCCCCTGCCCCCCGTAAACTCGTCTCTTCCCTGGCGTGGCTGTGAGGGTTCCCACGGTGGCGTGTACCAGAGCTTCGCCAGCTGTAGGTGGCGCATGATACACGAATTGGCACATGCATGCAAACATGCACACACATAACGTGTGTTGTGGTTATTGAGACCATCAGCCTCCAAGGGAGCACACCCTGTCACCACCCGGCCCAGTGCTGAAAGTACATCCAGGTCAAGGACCTGAGTTCTTGGTTTTAAATAGATTCTTTCAAAGACCTGCACAGCCTGCCGGAGGGCACTTAGCTGAGCGTCCTGTGGACTTCGGGGGGAAGCACCCCCAAACCCCACACCCCTCAGGCTCTAACCCAGTTCAGTCTCCTTGGGGCTCCTCCTGCCTTCTTGGCCAGCTCTGAGGAGCAGACCCAGGACCCCAATGGCCTCCCTTCCACCCCAGAAATCAATGCTGGAATCTGCAGTCACTCAAGGTCCCCAACTGTCTGTCTCCCACTCGACAGAAGATTCTCGAAGTGCAGTTGCTGGAGAGGGGCCTCGGAGAGTGTCAGGAAGCTCCCAGGGGATTCTGCACAGGGCAGGGGCCCAGCTGTGCCTCACACCCGCTCCCGCTGTGAGCACCTTCCCATCCTGAGCACCCTCTCCGCCAGACGAGGAACACCAGTGCTCCCTGCCTCTGGGCCTGCAGAAAGGGCTGCCGGTCGGGGGCCAGCCCCCCAGGCCTCTGCAGGAACGGAGCCATCGGTGGCTGTTGGCACCAGCAGGGAAAGGAGGAGGGCACCAGGCAGTCCCCACAGGCCCAGACAGGCTGGACTGGGGGGCGGCGGCGGCGGCTGCCACGTGTGCGCAGGGAAAGAGGCTTTCTGGACACCGAGGGAGTCCTGGGTCCTCGTTTCTCGGACACGAGGGAACCACCCTCCAGAGGAAACCCCCTCCGTGTGAACGCTCAGTTCTGGATGCTTACTAACAAACTCTGATGCCCAGAGAGAGTGGGACTTGCAGAAGGAGAGCTAACAAAGGTGCTCTCTGTGGCTCTCACGCCCAGTCCCAGCGCCTGGGCTCCCTGTCAAGGAGCCGTGTTGTCTTGCGTTTTCTAAGCATTCAGCTCCACCCCAGGGGGCCTCAGGACGCCCTGGAACGGTAGCAACCATTGCCAAGGAAACCGGAAGACAGCTCGTGCTGCGCAGGGTAAGCAAGAATGAATTAATTTGAAACCGCCTGAATTAACATGTAAACATCCATTTCAAACATACACTTTAAGTGAGGCAAAATTAAATTAGTAGGATTAAATTAAAAGCTAATTTAATGAAAGATTAGCTCTTTCTTGTTAGCACTGATTACGGCCACACTCGGTGATGCAAACGGCTTTTAACACATGCCTTGGAGCCATTTGTTCAATGTGCCGAGTTTTAAAGCAAGTTGGGCATTAGCATTCCACCCCCGGTTCTCCCAAAACCAGTGCCATTAACGATACTTTCATTTCACAGAGTGAGGGAGCTGGGAGGGCTGCAGCGAGCAGCTCCTTGCCCCTCCCGTTGTACAGATGGGAAGACTGAGGCCCCAGAGAAGCTAAGTGAACTTCCAAGGACACGTGACTGGTTCATAGAAGAATACGGCCAAGCACTCAAGTCCTCTGACTCCCAACCTCAGGGCCCCTCCTGCCATGCTAATTTTATTTCCTAGGAACAAGTACATTTCTAAGAAAAATGTTTAATTAAGAAAGAAGTCCATGGGAAAATGAAGACTTCTTAAGCTGCCTCAATTCCCTTGTTCTGACTGACAGTGAAATGCTGGATTTAAACAAGATTTGCTGGGAGCTCAGCAGTTCCTGGAAGAGCTAAGGGAGAAGCCGGCTTCACTCTGCCTGTGGGTGCCACCAGGGGCTCAGCCAGGGCCGAGGCTGAGGGGCAGGATGACGGGCGTGACAGGAGCGTGTGCCCAGCGCGTTCTTGGCCCCTTAACCAACGGGAGCCCCTAATGGGGAGCAACGTCTTCCCTCCGGGCCTCCTTGTCGCACGCCCACAGGCGCCCAGAGGACCAGCTGCTCGGGCCCTGGGACACCCGGGGGCTTCCCTCCGCGCACCGGTGTCCGTGTGGCACCTGCTCGGACACCAGAGCTGCGGTGTCTCCTGAGCACCGCCCTCCCCCCCTCGCTGACCACCTGGACCAGCACTGGCCCTCACGGACCTCGGTGCAGCTTCTGCAGCACCCCCTCCAAGAAGCAGCCCCTCCCAGCATTTACAAGAGCAGCTACATGCCATTCACGGGGACGAGCCCAGCGCTCACAGCGTCTTCACCGAGACATCAAAGTGGAAAGTGAACAGCCAGCCCCACATCTCTTTGGAATAAAGTCAGTGATGAGACTCGAGCATCTGACATGCTTGACCCGATCCAGGCCTGTCCATGCTCCCCCTCCCCCGATGGTCTGTGCACAAGACCCAGGACCTGGGTGAGGCTCTGGGCCGGTTAGGAGCTGGCCCCAGGGTGAGCCTCCCTCCACATCAGCACCTCCCAGGCCCAAAGGGAAGGGCCCGAGACTCCCCAGTCCTGACATGCGGGTGCAGGTGTGGTTCCCGGAGGAGCTGGTGCGAGCTGAGGGCACATCTTCCGCAGGCGCCCTCTCCCCCCACTCTCCCCGCTCCAGCCGCTGCCAGTGTGCCCGGAGGCCAGTGCCCAGCCTGCCCAGCTCCGTCTGCAGGAGGAGCGCCCCCAGCCACTGGCCAGGAGGCAGTGAGTGCCGCCTCCTCCAGGGGCCTGGCTGGCCCGTGGCGCAGAGGGGCGGGCAGCAGAGAGGGTTAGAGGCTGCGGCACAGCTCAGCACTGCAGTCACCCCAAAAGGGGCCTGACGGCACCTCCCATCTCCAGGGAGAAATGGAAGCCGGGGGCTGTGGCTGCTGCGTCACTCGGCTCCTGGACGCGGGCGGGGATGCTCCGTTGGTCGCCGGCAGCTTTCCTGGGATGGGAGAAGGGTCCCCACAGGCCCAGGGGGCGATGCCGGAGCAGACGGATCGGAAGTCAATCCTTTTCCAGTCCTCATCGCCTCAGGGCAGGGGTGGCCAAACTCTGACCCTGGGGCTCAGAGGTCATTTTAACACTCAATTCTGCAGACCAGGAATTTTAACTTTGGCTGTGACCTTGTCCAGCAAGCGGAGCCATTCACACACAGAAACGCAGCCGGACGGACGCTCACCTGCGCAGGGGGGCATTCTCCTCAATGTCTTCCAGCGTCTCCAGCGAGGACCTCTGCGAGATGAGCCGACGTCTGTGGAGAGAAGGGAGGAAACTGGGCGTTAAAACCGCCTGTGAAAGGGCCCAGGCACTCCTGTAATAAAGTCCAAAGAGACCGGACCACAGCCCTCCTCACGAGGCCCCGGGCTCCCAGCCTAGCTGCGGTCCAGGCCCAGCTGTGGTCCAGCTGCAGGGCTGTTTGTGGCGATCAGGGAAGCGACTGATCCGTTTACGCTGCCGTTTTCCCCGAGACCAAAAGACAAGGGTCTCTCACCACACGCCCTCGGGCACCGAGTCACAGCGCTGCCGGTGTTGGCATGTTAGCAGTCTGTACGAGGCTACCTGGTAAGTACTGCATGTGAAAGCCGTGTTAAATGGAATCGCAATCGGGTGCAATAATACCATTCGGATGCGATAAAAAAAGTGATGGTCTGATGGCCTGGATTTCAAAAGCCATTAGAAACAAGGACAACTCAGAGACCAGTGAGGCACATAGGGGCACGTTTAGACAATCCATGTACTCCTTCCCGTGGGGCTGCCAACCGCCTGCCAACGCCTCCTCAACCTCGCTTCTCTGAAGAACAAGCCCAGTTAAGGGGGACCCCCGGGATGGGACGGGGCGGACGGCCGAGCTTCACAGCAAAGCCTCCTGAACAAGGACCTCATTTCCCATAAGCGGTCTGCTGACGGGTGGAGAGTCTGAATGGGTCTCTCTCCACCTTGAAGAAAACGGGTCTACGGTTAGAGGGATAATTCTATTTTGTATTCCAGTTTACAAAACTTAGGTAAGAACATGCAATTATAACTATTATACTTTGTTCTAAAGAACAAAAAAGTATAAAATGAGACACTGAGACTATTAAGGGTGCCATCAACTTCCTAAGAGCCTTGTCTCATCTCTGGTATTCCAGTGCTTCCTGAATTGCTCATCACACACACACACACACACACACACACACACACACCAGCGAGCTGCCTAATGGTGGGTGTGTGAGCACCACGTGCGTCCTCATGACCCAGGGCCTCTGCACGGCCTGGCGTTCAGCTCTGCAATGACTCACAAGGAACTTCCCCGCGAAACGGCAATAGTGCCCGACTCCCAACGGCAGCCAGACCGGAGGCCACGGCTACGGAAGACCCTGGTCTTGCCTGCAAGACGCAGAAGGCCTGAGGGACGGGGAGCTAATTTATAGGCACCGACTCGCCAGTCCCCGGGGCTCGGCTCACGGCCCTAGGACAACAGCTCGCAGCGTGACTCTGAAGTGTCCGGGCCACAGCGGGCCGCGCCGCCCCAGTCCTCCGCCAGGCTGGTCTGGAGTCCCAGAGGGCCAGGCTGACGCCGGCAGGTCACACCCCTCCGGCAGGCCTGCCCGCCTCATCCAAAGGCAGGCAGTTCCACAAGGAGCGTGTGCAGAGACGCCTTGGATGTCCTGGGGCTGGAGGCTTAGAAAATGCCTCAATCCTGGAGCCTCCATCTCCTCGCCTACGAAATGGGAAAGTGCGAGGAAGAAGCAGAGACACCGGAGTCGTTGGTCAGGGCACCACTGACAGGCAGCTGCTGGGTTTCTGATCGACACTCACTTCCTCCGCTGGAAATGCACCCTGACCTGCCTTCCCCTCAAATGCCCAGGATGGGGGCTGGCCTAGCTCTGCCAACCCCAACCCCAGGCAGGGGCAGGGGCACCCCAAAAGGCCTTGTGCCTGAGCTTACCTGGGATCCTGCTCCTAGACACCTACCCACTGAGCATAACTCACTCATTGGCCACCCATAAAATCAGGGCCCCGCACCCACCCCCGCCCCCGCCCCCGCCTGGACTGTGCCTTTAAATTGGGCCGAGGAGCTTCCCTTCCTCAGGAGAGCAACCAGCAGGCTTTCCTCTGAGACGCACAGCTTGTGAAGGATCCCACGTTATAAAGAGACCGTCCCCAGGACCACGGACACAGAGCGGGCTGCCTTCCACACAAACAGGGACTGTTCGCTGCCTCAAGGGCCTGCCCCGTGGTGGTCACACAGGGTGCTCACCTCTGCCCCCTGCCCCCTGCCCCCGGCCAGGTCCTCCCAAGCCACGTAGCAACTTCTCCCGGTGCTTCCGTCCTTGGAAAGCACGCCACGGAAAGGCGGCTCAGGGCAGGTGCCAACCCTCACCAGGCACGTGTCACCCACAGCGAGCCTCCTGACTGGGCCCCACCAGGCAGACTCCTCACTGGGACGGCCGACCAGCAAGGTCTGCACATTTTAATGACGGACAACACCTTGTCTTGGACCACAACATCCTGCCCCCACGACCACAGCCAGCCAGCGAGAGGCCGGCAGACGCAAGGCAGCAGCCCTGGGCCACGTCCTGTGGGAACGCCTGTGTCTGGTCCTCAGGTTCCGTCTTGTCCGACAGGAACCCCTGGCCCCTCCTCCTGCCTTTCGCACACGGAGGCCAGTGTGGGCCCATCACGGGTGAGGTCACCTCCCTGCAGCCCCAGACTCCGCCCGACACCCTGTTCCTGCTCCTCTGGGCCCGAGCGCGGGCGTCTTCTCGCCGGGCGGGCAGCCCTGGGAGGGGCTAGTGTGGGCAGGACGGGGCTCGCTGCTGGCCCTGCGGACCGGTGACGGGGACCAGCAGTGCGGCTCCTCACGGCTGACCCCCTTGTGGGGTCACCTGGCAGACCAGTGCGAGTGTGTGGGCACCACAGGGCCAGCTCCAGGCTGAGGGAGGACTATGATGAGGAGGTGGCCCGGCCTCCGTGTCCCAGGAGGAGGTCAGACCTGGGGCAGCTGGGCCCCAGGGGGCGTAGAAATCCATGGAGGCAAAACCAATTCCAGGGCAAACGCCCAGCGTGTGGGGATCGTGGCTGCCACCTCCCACCGGAGGGCCTGTCCACGTGGCTGACCCCCCGGGGCCCTCCGGCTGTGAGCGGCCACGGGCTGCGCGGGCACCTGGGCACAGGCGGGTGAGTGGGTCACGATCGCCTCGGTGCGCCCAGACAGCTATTATAGCAAACCCCAACCACAGAAGCAGCTTATCCACAGTCACATGATACCCCACACCCTAATTTACTGCTCTGTCCCTGTGTCTGTCTCCCCAGATGGACTGACCACAGCGACGGTCCGCTGCTCCTGTCAGCCGCCCTCCCGTCTGGGCGCTCAGCGGAGGCAGAGTGCACAGGGCCTCCCCGGGGGCGGGGGCAGGGCCTGTGGACTCGCCCAGAGACCTCCCGACAGCACGCGACGGCTCCTGCGCGGTGCCAGAGGCTCCCCGTCTGTCACAGAGTCATCCCCAGAAAGCCCCCGGCCCCCACCACCAGCAGGACAGGGAGGCAGCCCCGTGCAGCGGGGGGCAGGTGGGGGAGGGACAGTCTCTCCCCCACCCCCACCCCAGGCACAGCTGTGCAGTGCACAGGGGTGAGGTGGGATCTGGTTAAAATGCATTTCTTCTGTTTAAGGTCATTAAATGCTCATTTTCCCAAGTGGAATTTTGTATGTCTCACTTAAAAAAAAATCAAACCAGGTCCAGCTGGTGTGGCTCAATGGCTGAGCACTGACCTATGACCCAGGAGGTCAGGGTTCGATTCCCAGTCAGGACACAGGCCCAGGTTGTGGCTCCCTCCCCAGTGTGGGGCATGCAGGAGGCAGCCAATCCATGATTCTCTCTCTTCATTGATGTTTCTATCTCCCTCTCTAAAATAAATGTATTAAAATCAATTGTTTAAAAAAAAAATCACAGCAGGAAACGCATCAAGTAGAAACTGAGGATGACCTGCTAACCCCAAGGCCCAGAGTTTGGTGTGTGCCTGTCAGTCATCAGACTGAAAAGGAAAAGAAAGAGTGTCTTTCCAAACACGAAGGCAGTGAGGCTCCTGGCTCCACTGCTGGAGACACCTGTGTCTGAGCCATAGGAGCGCGGGGCGTGTAGGGGGAGGGGTAGGAGGGGGGGTGGGGCGGGTAGGAGGGGGCGGGTAGGAGGGGGGTGGGGCAGGTAGGGGGGGGTAGGAGCGAGGGGGGGTGGGTAGGGGGGGTAGGAGCGGGGTGGGAGAGTAGGAGGGGCGGGTAGGAGGAGGGTTGGCGGGGGTAGGAGCTTGGGGGTGGGGTGGGTAGGAGGGGGGTTTGGGGCGGGTAGGAGCGTGGGGGGGTGTTGGGTAGGAGCGGGGGAGGGGGGAGGGTAGGAGCGGGGGGGTGGGGCGGGTAGGAGGGGGCGGGTAGGAGGGGGGGTGGGGCAGGTAGGGGGGGTAAGGAGCGAGGGGGGGTGGGTAGGGGGGTAGGAGCGGGGGTGGGAGAGTAGGAGGGACGGGTAGGAGGAGGGTTGGAGGGGTAGGAGCGGGGGTGGGGCGGGTAGGAGGGGCGGGTAGGAGGAGGGTTGGAGGGGGTAGGAGCGTGGGGGTGGGGCGGGTAGGAGCTTGGGGGTGGGGTGGGTAGGAGGGGGGTTTGGGGCGGGTAGGAGCGTGGGGGGGTGTTTGGGTAGGAGCGGGGGCGTTGGCGGGGTAGGAGCGGGGGTGGGGTGGGTAGGAGGGGGGCTGGGTGGGTATGAGCTGGGGCGGGTAGGAGGGGGAGTAGAGCGGGGAGGGGGTAGGAGCGGGGGGGGGGGTGGTAGGAGCAGGGGGGGCGGGTAGGGGGGTGGGGCGGGTAGGAGGGGGAGTAGGAGCGGGGAGGGGTAGGAGCATGGGGGGGCAGGTAGGAGTGTGGGGGTGGGGTGGGTAGGAGGGGGGGCCGGGCGGGTAGGAGCGGGGGGCGGTAGGAACATGAGGTCTCAGGAGGGAGGGAATCAGGCTCCTCCCCAGGCGGGAGGCGTTCCTGGGCTGGCACCCTCTCTGTCCAGCGCTGGCTCTAGGGGAAGCTGCACGAAGAGCCGGCACCTAAAGGGCCCTGGTTGGTGGCTCACACCAGCTGGGGGGAGGGGGATGAAGGACCGACAATAGGATTAGGGCTCCAACCTCATCCCCATGGCTTGGTGATCCCCGTGGGCCCAGAGCCTTCCCCACGTGGAGCTGCAGGTGTGGGAGCAGAGGCCTGAGTCCACTGTACGGGGCAGGAGAGCGACCAGGACT